AAGTACGTGTACCTGTGTTGATCATGCAGCATTGGCGATGAAGAGGAGCATATTGCTCCTCTTGCTTAATCTTAGATTATTAGGTTCTTACTCTTCATTCCTGGCACTTTGGTGTATTTCTTACTTTAGGTTATGCTTCCTAATATCTGTCTCTTATACACATCTAGATGTGTATAAGAGACAGATATTGTACTATTCGGCTCTCGGACAGAATATTGCAGTCACCCATGAGGGATTTTCCTCTGGAGGGTGGTTGCCTAGCTTATCCTGTGAAGGATATTTGGTGCCCTCGGGATTATCTTGTACTAATGGCTCTTGACTGTGTTCTTAGTTTAAGTATAGTGTTGTTTGGGAATTACCTGTTTCATTGTCCCAAATTTGTTCTCAGGGTTGGAGGTAGGCTTAGCTAGGTATTGTATCTTAGGGTGATTGAGCTAATCTTCACATAGCTTTTGTGAACCCCTGTTGACCGGACCGCAACAGCGAGGGTTACACTTCCATTTTTAGCAAGCATATTGGCAACTTTCTTCCCTGGCGTACTGGCGTACATCCGAAAACAAACCTCCGGCGAACACACTGCACCTTCCTGACCATGGCAGCCTTAGAGGTCCTAGTAGGCTGGTCCTAGATTTCTAGTTCATGACATAAATGTTCAAGTGTTTTGATATTTTTTTTGCTTTACTTGTTGAAAATTCAACTGTTAAACAGTTCAAAGACTAAGGACTTGAAGCCACTACATCCCTGAAGAACAGTATGAGAAAGAGCTTATTGTTGACTTACGAGTTACGACCACAGTGGACCACTAACTACCTAGGTAGCCTGAGGTAGGTAAGTGGCAACTGGCAACTGTAGCATTGAAGCATTCTAACAAAGTAACAATAAGCTCATTTTATTGGTGCTAAAAATTTTTAACTGCCTTGTGGCTTGTAGGAAACGTAGAGCTAGAGAGTAGAGTAGAATTTGTAGAAATGACAGTTTTCTGACAAAAAATGCTAAAAAGTGGTCTATTATTGCAAGTTTGCAACATACATAAATTAACAAAGGAAAAATTCATTTTTTACCATTATTTGTAGGTAGCCTATGCCCTATTCCACTTAGCATATTTGTATGGTATTAAAAAAAAGGAAAAAAAATTTTTGTGCCCATACAGCCATACCTACTACAGATAGTGAGACTGTGAGATAGGTGATGACTGTGATGTCCAAAAAACCTGGTCTTGACTGTTGAGTCATGTCATTTCAATGATCTCAGCATTTTGCAGTGGGACTAGGATGCCTGCTGCATTGTCTCATTCAGGAGTTGGTCAGTTGTCACTAGGTACTCACTACCGTCACCATGTCACGACTCACGCATCACCTAAGCTGTTAAGCTACGTAGTAGTAACTTGTAACTGTAAGTAGTACTATTCACCGGCTCAACGCCTCTGATGGCCCGAGCCCCGTTCTCACATAGCCGGGGCGGTTAAAGGGCCGGAAGTCCCGGAAACACCAAGCCGGTTGAAATGCCGGATTTATAGCCGGTATATGGGGCAGGGCGTAATATGCAAGGGGCAGGGCTTAACATGTAATGCCCTTCAGGTAGCTGTCCCGTAAGAGCCGATAGGTTTCCCGGAAGAGCCAGATATCCGGGAGATCCGGCTTCAGTAGCCGGAAGATCCTGCAATACCGGCTGTCAACGTATACCTGGTACTCCCGGCCCCCCGGGAGCCTGCCGGAAGTCCCGTATGCCTCCCGGATTTCCAGGTAGATTGCCGGAATTCCCAGAAAAAAGCCGGTAAAACAGCAGGTAGAGCCGTTTGAGCAGTAAGAACTGCCGTAAAACCAGGGTAGTTTTTCCCGGTATTCCAGGTAAGTTATGCAAATTTAGGCCCGCCCCTTTCAATAAAAGCTTCAATGTTTAATGAAAAGTTCCCCTATTTAATTTAATACCTTTTCCGCAATATTCAGATCTAAAGTAGGTAAATGGGGAAATGTATTATAAGTTAAAAAGTGTATTAAAATGTTTAAGGAACTTTATTAAATAATGACAACTTTTCAGAAAGTAGGTAAAAGCAAAAATGTGTATCAGCTTCAGTTAAAAAATTGTATTTATCTTTAACACAAAATTATTTCAGAAAGTGTTTACAAAATTGCATGAATGAAAGTGTTTACAAAAAAGAAAATGGTGATAATGTTTCATTTAATTACTCACACCCCATTTATTGTTACATTGTGTTTACAATATATAAACATGCATACCGGTATATCTAATGCAAATTTGCAAAGTTTAATCAGCAGACATGAAAGAAATGTTAATAGGCCTAATTAACAAAACTTCCACAAAAATGTGAAAAATACACAATTTTAACAGCAGATAGTATTAAATATGAACAATTAACAATGCATTTGCAAGAAAAAATTAAAAAAGTACAAAGTTGAAACAGCAAATGCAAATAAGTGACAATGCTTTCGCACAAAAAAAAAAATTTGGACGATTTCACCCCTCCCGGTACCCCAGGCTGGTCCCCCCGGCCGTGCCGGTCGAGTTCTCACATAGCAACGGAAGGGCAGGTTGGCTCCCGGATTTTTATGGTTCCGGTCGTACCGGCAAAATTATTCAACATGTTGTTGTTGTTTATTTGTTTATTGAGGATGTGGGGATTCAACATGTTGAATAATTTTTCCGACCCAGCCGGATTATGGCCACGCCCTCCAGGAACTCTAGGAACTCCCGGATCTCATTTCCCGGATCTCCAGTTTGATTACCGGTACCCCAGGAATCGGCCGCGCTTGTATCCATGCGCTGACGTTCTTGGTTGCCTAATGCCAGACGGCATACGCCAGTAGTAAACGTTGAGCTGAATTGTGTTTGACATCGAAGTCCGAAATACAAATGACTATTTCGAGGATGATTAGTTCTATTTAGGCTACCTATAACGTTGGCAGTCCATCATGGAGCTGATAGGTAGCTAGTTATTAAAATTTCTGCTAGTTTTTGTTTCAATTGCAAGCTGGTAGCCTATAACATTTTCAATTTTGAATGATTAGCTACTAGTTACTTAAAAGCAAGTGCTTCAGCTGCATATTCCCTTCATGGATTTGTTCACCTATTTTCAGTAGGCTATTGAGAATTTGAGATGGCTTTTTTATGTTCTGTCTAGAAATTTTCTTGACAGACAACTTAATCTAAATTTTGGAGGGATGTGAAATTGTGAACTGATCAATGAATGAGTCTCCTAATCCTGAGAGCATTGTAGCATGAAGGCCTGAGGCTTCCTCCTGCAGCCTGACTCTATCATCGTCTCTATGTTCTAAGAAATAGGTAGATCGTAGATGGATGTATAGTAACGGTAATGGATGAGAATAAAGTTTCCTCAGTTGTTACTGTGTTAGTTTCTAATTGAGGACTTCAACTGCCAGAGGCCCAGAACACCAGAGCTACTTTCTAGTCTAGATGGTCATCTTTGAAATGTCTGTTAGCCTGTGTTGGGCTGTTAATGTTGCCCACGTAGCAATACCAATCACTTTTACAGTTAACAGTTCTAATAGAGTTCCTGGCATTAAATGAAAATGATGAATGTAAATCCAACTGAACCACAACTTCTTAATTTCTAATTTGTTGGGGAATGAAGGTAGTATTGTAATTGTGTAGTAATGTAAAAGGTAAATGTACAACCAGTATTAAATAGGTTATGTTCAATGGTAAAGTGATCAGGTGAGTGCAGGTATGGAATATATCTACTTGGTGAGCCGCAACTAAATTTTCCAAGCCGTGGTTTTATGGATTTACCAGCCGTGATTCTATTTCTTCTAGCCATGATTCAATTTGTTTGAACCATGAATTCCATATCTTGGGCATGAAAAGCCATTTAAGACAAGTGTTACTGCAGTCTGACGTGACCACAACTTTGGGCAATCTTCAACAAAACATTTAGGTTGACTTGTTTTAGTTGTTTACATTACAATGATTACGTTCTGCAGAATATTTTGGTGGGAATGGTAAAGTAATGTGGATTGTGGAAGTGGAAAATTTTATGAAATGACATGTTTGTGAAATGCAAATGTAATTTTTTTCAATCAAACAAAAATTTGACATTTGAGCCATGAGAGATCTAGCTACTGAAATTTTATGATGTTAGAGATGCAATATTTCTGAATAAATATGACTTTTACAGCCCTGGGTGAGTGACATGGGATCTGTTGAGTGTTGAATTGGTGTAGTAGGTGACAGGTGGCAATGCATATTGGCCAATGGGGAAACTTTGATTCTGTTATATTTGCTTGCCTACTTTGATATTCCTTCCATGATCCTATGACTTGGATTTGCTAATGAGTAATGTTGGTATCTACAATACTGAACTTTCAATACGGTACAGTAGGTACTCTAAGCTGGGCAAAAGTCTAGCGTGCACCATGGTTGACTGTCAATGTTGGAACTTAGAAGTTGTTTTGCATTTTGTCAATACTATGCTTGAATTCTGCCAAAACCTAGGCTGTATTACAGGTCAGATCTCCTATTTGAAGGGGTTAATTACTGCATAATGACTTTGAAGCTGCGTTGGTCTTGCTACTAAGTAGTCATGATTTTTGGTTATAAATTTCTATTGCTCCAGTACTGGAGGTTGGAACCATAGTACTTGTGTTGAATGGAGTGGCACGGACATTTAAAGGCTACTTCATACATTAATGTATTGTTGAGTGTCGAGTTGTGCTGAAAATTTCATGAAGAATTACAGCTGCTGTTAAGCCTGTTACCATCGTCCTGTAGAAACCATCTTGTATATACCTGACCTAATATTTAATACTTTCTAATCTTTGAGAACTCTATGTTAATGACTTGGATCTATAAAATTATTAGTGATAAGTTATTAGCTTCATTTGAGGTAAAAAATTTGGAATCCAATCCACATCCAAAATGTTGAATTAGTAGCTGCAAACCTATTGAAGCTCTACTGGAAATATAAATATTGTAGATTCGTTGTAAGTGTTGCACATGCATTTATTAACTTCAGGAAATGCTGTTCTTATATGTTTTGTATGCCATTAAGCTACAGAATTTCTTTTGTCCAGAGTCATTATTATGAGCGAGAAGATGTTGCTCTGCATGGACTGGCCAAGTTCTTCCGGAAGAACAGTGATGAAGAAAGAGAGCACGCTCAGAAATTCATGAAGGCAAGTAGGAAGCAGCCTCTGTGTTGTGGTATTGAATATGTACATCTTATACTGGGAAGTAAAACAGGGGCAATTTTTAACTGAAGGGTATATGAATTATTGAATTGACAAAACTGCCCTGAATTGTCGAAACTATTTTGGTCTTCAGTTACATAAAGTGTCAAGGAATTTATATTTTCTGCCGAGGAAGAGTTTACAATTCACCTGAATTTATACTTTGGGAACAGTTTTTTTGCAATATTTTATTTCACTGGTGAAGGTAGATTTCTTCATGCATATTTGAAGATCGAGGTGACTTGAAAATTTTTGTAGAAACCAGTCCACTAATTAAGCGCCTTAATGGTGTCGACAGTGCTCCTGAGATTTTTTTTTTCACCACACGTCATTCTTGTAATTAATGAATTTTATCATACGGATAATTTTATTATATATAAAAGAGAGATTGAATTTATTTCGCAGTATCAAAATAGTCGTGGTGGTCGCATCGTACTGCAAGCGATTGCTGCCCCCTCGTTGCAGGAGTGGGGCTCAGCCTTGGACGGCCTGCAAGCGGCCCTTGACCTCGAGAAACAAGTCAACCAGGTCAGTTCCTCGTGGTCGAGATAATTCTGTGTTTTGTAGCTGTGCTCACGAACTATTCTTGACGAGAAATTTTTTCGCAAGTATCGATCAGTTGAATAACGTTAAAAATTACTGAATGTACCAATCTAGTAAATTAAAGCGAGCCTTCATAATCTAGTGTTGATAGTTAGGGGGAGTTCAATTAGTTTGTGTACAGCACGAGTTTGACATGGTTTTAAATAGATACCGATAAATCAGTTGCACCTTGTACGTAATAAAAGACGAAACGTCTTCAAACCTTTCTGCAGCAACGAGACTGTCACTGTAGTATAAAAAGATGAGCGTCTCTGAATCTGCCACTATATTTCTAGTTCCAGCCCCATCAATTACTTGATGGGGCTGCGTGTTACAGGTTTTAATAATTGCAAGCGTACAAATAGAGTAAGGATGTCACTGTTCATATCGTTGGTGAAATCAGGGTCCTTCTCTTGCATTGTAAATCATGATGCAATTATGGGAGAGGGTGAGCACTGAACTTTTAGACATTGCTATACCGTAGTCTGAAAATGATGCATTTCTCAGCAGTTTTTAATGAGGGCGCTTCAAACTTGAAATTATGGAATTTTAAATGGCATGGCACTGCGTAATTATTCAATGTCGTGCATTGTTGACATGTATTCTTTGTTGTGCAGTCACTGCTTGACATTCACGTGCTGGCGAGCACCCACTCAGATCCTCACCTCACCAACTTCCTCGAGGGAGAGTTCCTAGAAGAACAGGTTGAAGCTATCAAGGAGCTCGCGGATATGATCACACGCCTCAACCGCGCCGGCCCCACAGGCCTTGGAGAATACATCTTCGACAAGGAGCTTCGCGACTGATATCTCTACTGAATACTTCCTTTCTAAAATCCTGGCCTCTATATACTTGCGGTTATCACAAGCCTCTCCTTAGGTGCAAGTGAGACGAGGAATGGATCTGTGGCTCGTTCGACCAGCATCTGAATGGAAGTAATGTTGCATAAACGAACCTTCCCAAAATTTACATCTTATCCTCGGAATGCAGATTTTTATTTTAGTTTACGTTGGATCTGAGAAGTTGCCTATATATCCTGTTAAATTTTTCAGAAGATTTGGTTTTTCATTCCTTTGAAAGGACTTGAATCTATTAATTCATTTCAAGCTAGTCAATGACGTCGTACAGACACTTGACACAAGTTGCAGCACCGTTCCTTCGACCTAAGATTAGATGGGTTCGCGTAATTGTGTTATAAGTTTTCTACTCTTGTGTTCGTGAATATACTAAATACCTACAGCAATAATATTTTCACCTCTTTGAATCTGAATAAATCACGAAATCAGAACTATTTCCTTCACTGATATGAAGTTTGAGCGAGAAGACGCTAATAGTTCCAAATTATCTCGCGAACAGGCTGCTAGCACTTATAAATGTCGACGTTTACTCCAACACGGTAGTCGTTCACTCCCCGACTGATGGCCGTAAATCCAGTAAAGGCCATGAAATTATACAGTGCTTTTGCGCTCCTAGGGGGATTGTTCCTGAGCGCCCCACCGTTGAGCTCGCGGTGTCTGACTGCAGGTCTCAGTTGTGGGGTCAAGTTATTATGTAGGCAGGATTCCTTACATTTCCCTTCTCTGTCTCTCTCGTGCGGGAGGCCGACGTCCCGTGTAAGCGACCTCTTGTTCGAGTGTCTTCGTTTCTGTTGCTTTTTACCTGTCCCTCCTTGTCACTTCGTCTCTTTTGAGATGCTAACGCTGCTTCCTTCAAGCCAGCTTCAGCGGGCTGGACATCTGAGACCTTCCGCCCCTTGTGGGTGATGGATAATTGAGACCTTCCACCTCTATGTTGACGTTCATTTTGACTTTCGGTGCGAGATAGCTTAATAGCTGAAGCGCTAGTAAGCATTTGGCCACTAAACTAACTATACAGTGCATGAAAGAGTGAGCTTAGCTGGAAGAGTAACGCGCATAATCGATAGCATGTATCAATTGTGCAAATTCCATTCGCATCAAGTACCTCTACCACGTCGCTGTATGCATGCATGGTTGAACTGGTATCAGGTTGACCCATGAGAAGCTCATTTTTGCGGATGGAGTTCCTTGTTCGCCTGTGACTTCCTTGACATTACCCATTCACCGAAATACGGACGAACGAGTCAACCAATCCGTCATGGGAATGACTATTGTTCTCGATCTCAGTGACGTAACAAAGCTGAAGTGAAAGACGGAAATCCTCGTGAGCCAACCATGGCTGTGAGCATGATCATCGATCGAGGTGTATGCTTTTGCTTGAAACTGGCAAGGATTACAATTCATGTGAGGGTTCACAAAAGCCAAGTTTCTGGTAACTGAAAAAGAATTCAACTCTTATAGCAGACTTCTTTAATAGTCATTCATTAAAATTCATACGGAAACTATCAATGAAAAAAAAGTGTCTAAAATCAATTGCTGATTGTACTAAAGAATCTATTCAATCAATGGTGCAAAACGCCAACTGTGAAAGCTTTCAAGCTTATTGGATCCATTCTGCGTGTTCAAAACAAATTAGAGCACTCTCGTTCCAATGAGGTAGACTCCAGTTCCACGTTACCGGGCAAGACCAGAAAAATTTAGAAAACCTAACGTGTCGTGTGTATCTGAAGTAGAGCGTCGAGTTCACTGGTAGTTCGTGAAGATAATCGTTTACCATTCACAAGTGAATTACCGTAAGAAAACAACGGCGCAGAAAATGATACCGCTCAATCGGACGAAAGAAGGGAAACTGGAGTGACAGCGGAGATGTATTTCGCAGAGCTAAGGCAGCTCAGAACCTTCTTGGGTGGCGCTCGTAGTCCCAAGGATTTATCCGCTTGATTGCCTTTAGATTTAGAACGGGCTCCACCTCTCCAAGCACCTGCAAAGTTAGATGCACGATTTTGTGACAAGAGTAGTCATCTATTAATTTCTAGTTGGATGTTAAATTATATTCTGTGCGATCACAAAGAACTTTGAATCTTGATGCCTCATTCAAGTTAGGAAGAACTAATCTAAAGTCATAATCTAAAACATCAATAGCGAATAAGATGTCTCAAATCACAATTCATAACTAATGAAAAGCGCGTTTACCAGCGCGAGCGTAAATTCTTGTAGCAAAATCGGGTCATCACTATACCAGCCGACTACCTGGTTGACGATCTCGAGAGACCTCGTCTGGCCCAGGAGCTAGAGGCGTCTTTATCCCGACTGCAAGCAGCTGCTTTTGTTCAGTTAACGCACGTGGATTGTGCAGAAGTGCGGCCAATAACAACCCCTGAAAATTTTCATTAGCAGATTAATTTTTGGAAAGATGAAGTATTTTAATCNAGGCGTCTTTATCCCGACTGCAAGCAGCTGCTTTTGTTCAGTTAACGCACGTGGATTGTGCAGAAGTGCGGCCAATAACAACCCCTGAAAATTTTTCATTAGCAGATTGATTTTTTGAAAGATGGAGTATTTTTAATCGTTAACCTGATAATTTTTGATCAAACCTTTTGCCTCACAAAAGTTCAGACCAAATCCATATACCCAATAATTTTAAGAATATAATCCGTTCCGGGTATGAACGGAATTGTTAAAATATGAATTGAATGAAAGAAGAGACTGTAAAATAACCGAGTATCACTATAGTGAAAAGAACCTGTGAGTGAGCGGACCGCACAAACCGTCGGTTGGCTGTGATGATCGGCGCCCTGTGGTGCAACGCCGTGCCAAAGATGATGCGAGAACTCACTGTGATGCCTCCACACACTCTCAAGACTCCCTGCAAAACAAACTCATAGTCAAGCCCGACAAATAGCATGGAAATATGAAACCACATGTATGAAGAATTATTAATAACTACCATATCAGGAAGTTATATCTGAACCCTTTATCTCTGGGTCGTGTGAATATTATTCAATGAGTATCCGCAGATAATGGCAGGAGTAATAATTGATATAAACTATCATTTGAATCGTGCTATTATCACAAGCATGTAAAAGGCTGTAAAATATATTA